GTGGGGTGCTCAGTCAATATTCTTGGGCCACACTGGGCCGCAAACACTGGGCCAGTGTTTTGATCATTAGATGATAGTAATAACCAATTCTGGTATTTTCACTACCAAAGAAAGCTGTTTGGTAGCAAAGTTAATATTTGTCTACTTATCAATACCTTGAGTAATTATGGTAACTTGTAGGGAACATAAGGAGTACTGGTGATGTAGTGGCTACAAGGTGAGCTGCCATCTGAGAGGTCAGCAGTTCAAAACTACCAGATGCACAAAGGGAAAAAGATGGGGCTTTCTACTCTCAAAAAGAACTTCAATCTGGGAAACCCACAGGGGCAGTTCTACGCTATCCTATAAGGTCTCTGTGAGTCAACATCACTTGTTGGCAATTAGTTTGGTTTGGTTTGTAAGGAACATAGAGACATCCTAGTCTTTCTCGTGATGCAAGATCTCAGAACCAAGACCAAGCTGAAAAGCTCAGTTTGTCCTATTGTAAGTTCTCTCTCAGCTCTGTTGGTGTAGTGGGTTACACATTGGGCTGCTATCCACAAGATCCACAGTTCAAAACCAATAACTGCTCTGCAGGAGAAATATGCAGGCTTTCTACTCCTGGAAGTTTTTCAGTCTCAGAAACCCACAGGGGCAGTTCTATCCTGCCCTACAGGGCTCCTTTGAGTCGTCCGTGGCAGTGAGTTACCTCAACAGACCCTACTTAAACTGTGCATGGGGTAGTTTACTGCTTTTATGTCTTGGGAAGGTCTTGTGCATATGTTCATAGGTATGCATATTGAAAAATTTCAGGCATATGTGTGCACAATAGGTTTTGACTCCCAATATGCAGACATGCAAATAGAGTAGAACTCAATACTCTCTACTGGAATTTCAATATCTGAGCTGATTCATCACATATATGGCCTCTTTTCCAACACAAGAATAAATGAGAATCATAATTTTGTATAAAATTCTCAATAATTGCTCATATTTCCTGTGTGAATATACAGAGGGGTATCTGTGATAGGAATATTCGAGAGGACTTCAGAGAAGCTGTAGGGAAATGGAATGCAAAATATAATGGAGTTTTCCCACAAACTTTCTGAAGTTCTCGTGTCTGATAAATAGGAAGGTGCCCTTGTGGTGGAATAGGCTACACATTGATCTGCTAACTGTGAGGTCAGTGGTTGGAACCCACAATTGCTCTGAGGGAGAAAGATGAGGCTGTCTGCTCCTGTAAAGATGTAAAGCCTCAGGAACTCAAAGGGGAAGTTCTACTCTCACCTATAAGTTTGCTATGAGTCAGAATCAACTTAATGGCAGTGAAAAAATGTCTAATAGGACCCTGTTAAGTAAGAAAAGAGTTCTGAAGAATACAGACATTAAGATTAAAGATTGATTTGTTAAGAATCTCCTCTAATGGTAAACAAGTGGCCATCTAGCTCAGAAGCAACAAAGTCCACATGAAAGAAACACACCAGCTTGTGTGATCATGAGGTGCCGAAGGGATCAGGTATCAGGTATCAAAGAACAAAAAATCCTATCATTGTGAATGAAGGGGAGTGCGGAGTGGGGGCCCAAGACCCATCTGTAGGCCACTGGACATCCCCTTACAGAAGGGTGGCAGGGAGGAGATGAGCCAGTCAGGGTGAAGTGTAGCAATGATGAAAAATACAACTTTCCTCTAGTTCCTAAATGCTTTCTCCCCTACCACTATCATGATCCCAATTCTTCATTACAAATCTGGCTAGACCAGAGGAGGTACACTGGTACAGATAGGAACTGGAAACACAGGGAATCCAGGACCGATGATCCCTTCAGGACCAGTGCTGAGAGTGGTGATACCAGGAGGGTGGAGGGAGGGTGAGGTGGAAAGGGGGAACTTATTACAGGGATCTACATATAACCTCCTCCCTGGGGGACAGACAACAGAAAAGTGGGTGAAGGGAGACATCGGACAGGGCAAGATATGACAAAAATAATTTGTAAATTATCAAGGGTTCATGAGGGAGGGGGGAAATGAGGAGCTGATGCCAGGGGCTTAAGTGGAGAGCACATGCTTTGAGAATGATGAGGATAATGAATGTACAAATGTGCTTTGCACAATGGACGTATGCATGGATTGTGATAAGAGTTGTATGAGCCCCCAATAAAATGATTTTAAAAATTAAATAAAACAAAAGTCCACTCATTATTTGCTCTTGCCATAATTTTACAATGCAGAGCTCTCAATTCATGTTATACGTCAATGAATAATTTAAGACAAAACAAAACACCCATGGATGTAAACCTGCTTTTGTTTGGTTGAAGGGAGTGGCTTCAGAAGGCTATGGAGATCTAGTGATCCCCAGAGCGCTGCTCCAGTGGATCTAACAATATGATCGTTTGTCCTGCTGAGAGGCTTTTCCTAACCTGTGCCCTGATGAGCTCCATGGTTCCTTCCAGGCCCAAACTGTCATCAGTCTTAGTCCTGGCAATAACTAGTGCCAGCATGAATTTTTCAAATAGGGTTCCCTTTCAAGATGGACATTCTGACAATATGCTTTTAGGATGAGTTTTAAAGACAGACTTTGCTATTGCAAACCTATTAAACAAATGCAGCCTTAGCTATCAGACACTGAACTTGCCATCTCTTTGATTATGCTTTGTGATAAGAACAGCAGATGTAACCAGAGAGCTGATACATCAGAATGAAAAGAAGGTGGTAATGGGATTTTTATATTTATTGATGGGTGCAACTTTGTGTCTATCTGTATGTCTGCAATGAAGCAAAATGCACTTATCTGCTTGAAAATGAGTGTATCTTATGAAACGAGTCCTGTTTTGCACAAGGTAAATAAGGGGTGGCCAATGGGAACTTGCGAGCATCCAAAAGACTATTGTTCGTGACCAGTTCTAGAAGCCAAAGGGTCATTGACAAAACTCTCAAACCTGGTAAAATGTGAGGTTTGTACAGGCATAGTTTGAAGTGAGGAGTCAGACACTGATCTTCTGCAGAATTGAGCTGTTCTTCAGATTTACAGGGTTATAAAGACAAACAAATAGAAATGAACTCCTATAAGCCCAAAGGATGCACAGTCTGCACCATCTTCACAATTTCCAGCATATTCAAGCCCATCATTGCAGTTACTGTGCCAGTCCACGTCAGTGCATGAGGGTCTCCCTCACCTTCCTCCACATCCCTCTACTCCATCAGCTGTAATGTCCTCCTCCAGTCATAGATTCTGAGGGCGTGTTGGAATAAGTGAATTGTGATCCATCGGCTTGTCACTGGCTGATTTTGAAGGTACATCACCAGATCTTTCTTCCTAGCCTTAGTCCGAAAGCTCTACTGAAGCCTGTCTGTCATGGGCAAGCTTGCTGGTGGTATTTGAAATACTGGTGGGTTGGGTACAAGTACCTTTGAATATAAGAATCAATAGCACAAAGCTGATCCCCATGAAGTGATGATCAGATAGACCTCTATCCTACAGCATTTTACTAATTGCGACGACAACAGCTATCTCTTACACAGCATTCTCTACTTCTCTGTGGGGTTTGACAATCCATTGCAATGGCAACACACGACCCACAGACCATACTTAGGGATAGGTGGTTTATTAAGGAACAACCTCCATTCAGGACCAGGAAGCATGTAGACACAATCTTCCTTCTTTAATGCAAGACAGCTCTTGCAGCTCCTATGATTTCCCCAAGAAAAGGCTCTTTTTGGCCCTGGCATCTGTGTTGCCACCTCTGCCCCCAACCTGCTTTAGGTCTGTTACCCTGCTCTGCTTCTGCCTCTCACCATCGTCAGTGTTGAAGCTTTTTTAAAATTTTATTTTATTATTATTTTTTAATCGTTTTATTAGGGGCTCATACAACTCGTATCACAATCCATACATACATCAATTGTGTAAAGCACATTTGTACATTAGTGGTAAAGCTTTTGACCTACACTGGATTTTCTAGGAGGCTCCTTGCTGACACCTCTCTCTTCTCCCTTCACTTCTCTGCTCTTCTTCAGCCTAGTTCTTCCTGCTGGCTTTTTACGGCCCCCAACAATATGGGGAGCTGGCCGCTTAAAAAAATGCAACTCCTTGTCAATGTCAAAGCATGGCACTCCCACCACGGCTACCTACCAACTGATCCAGGAAGTCACAAACATTTCATCTGCATAGTAGGCATGGGCAGGCTACAGCTCACCTCATTTGCATAGTCTATCGACCAATCCCTACAAGGTCCATCCCAATCACACTGTGGACAGCAGGCCAGGACTACCCAACACCTATCAAACCAAGCTTACCCAGGAAATACCAATCAAACCAGGCCAAAGGAACAGGCCCTCTGGTTGAACAGCAGGGCTTGGGTGGGGGTGGGGGAGTTTCAAGCTGTTTTCTAAAGAATCACGGCAAAAGGCAGTCTAAGGAAACTCCCGTCACTACCCAGGTCCCAGGTTCACAGTGCGACACACTGACAGCGGAGGAACGCATTCACCAGGGTTCCAATGCCTCTCACAGAAAGCCTTTTCTCTGGGGTGCTTCTGAAACCGGCAGCACTAGCTCAAGGATGGGTCTGGAAACTACTGTGATCCACCATTTTCCTTTTCAAGCATGCCTGCTAGTAGTCCAACTTGGGCAGGTCCCTTTACAAACTCTAATGCATAGAAGTAGGCCAGCTACTTATAGCACAAAAGTGAAAACACGTGATGACATTAAACTTAATTCCAAATTTTCTAATAAGGTTACTGGCTAGCAACATTTGGTTTCCTAAAGATGATGTCAATAATACATTTGTAGAAAACCCAGTATTTTTATGAACCCGTTTAGTCCTGTCATTTCGGGTTATTCAAGATCTCTGTTAGTGTATATTGAGCACTGGCCATCCATCCAATTTTTGCCTGGCCATCCATCTGTTTTATTAAAACCTGCTGTGGGTTAGGTTGCTGAATTATGATAGTGAGTGCACAAAGTGCATATATGTGACAAAACAGAATTTTTCTGATATTTTCTAATCTCACTTGTGATTTTTTTTTTAAAATCAGGAGAGTGCGAACATAGTCCCCGAAGACCACAAATTATACAGCCGAGTTTCCCACATTTGGGGAAATCTCAGGGGTCAGCACAGCTGGAGTGCAATGGATGAGCCTCGCCCTGGGAAAACCACCTTCGTGATCATGGTATCGCCTCAGCCAGGTAAGTATCACTTGTGATTTTTAATTAATTCTTTATTGTGCTGAGTTTGAAAGTAACAGAACACTTGCCAGTTCTACAATCCTCACACTTACAATTCTGAGACATTAATTCTGTTCATCATGTGCAACCATCACCATTACTCGCTTAGGATTTTGTAGATCATTCTTGCTACAAAACACAAATTCAGAGAGGGAACGAGCTATTGGTATAGTTAGCTATTTCAGCAGAACCACCCAACTAAGGGAGGAAGATGCGGCTACCTGCTTCCATAAAGATTTACAGCCTCGGGAGGTACACTGGTACAGATAGGAACTGAAAATACAGGGAATCCAGGGCGGATGAGCCCTATAGGACCAGTGGTGCGAGTGGCAAAACAGGGAGGGTAAAGGGAGAGTGGGTAGGGAAGAGGGAACCGATTACATGGAACTGTGTGTGACCTCCTCCCTGGGGGACAGACAACCGAAAAGTGGATGAAGGGAGACGTCGGACAGGGCAAGATATGACAAAATACCCATTTATAAACTATCAAGGGCTCATGCGGGAGGGGGGAGCGGGGAGGGAGGGGAAAAATGAGTACCTAATGTGGGGGTTTAAATGGAGAGAAAATGTTTTGAGAAACGATGTACAAATGCACTTTACACAATTGATGTGTGTATGGATTGGGATAACAGTTGTATGAGCCCCTAATAAAATGTTAAAAAAAAAAAAAAAGATTTACAGCCTCGGAAACTCACAGGGGCAGTTCTGCTCTGTCCTACCACTGTGAGTTGGAATCAACTCAATGGCAGTGAATTTGGCTGGTGGGGCTCGACTAAGATTGGAAAAGAGGGCCTGGTGATCTATTTCTAAACGTTGGCCAAGGAAAGCCTCTGGATCAGAGGATACACGCACTCTTGGGTTCCCAAGACCAGGCTGTCAAAAGAAACTCGGTGTTATGTGAAACTTGAGCTCCTCCATTTCTGGGAGTTTCTAGGAGTGGTGAATCTGCTCCTCAGGCTCTAGAAGTGCTTTCTGAGGTGACCCTATGGAGCCCTGGCTGACTTGAAGCTGGCATCTCTGCACACTTCGATTTCTCCACTTCGAGAGGGAGGGTAAGTTCGTGCCATTCAAACCAGATAGAGCTGATTAGGGAGGGCACTTCCCATATTCCAACCCTTGTGGAGTTTTTACTCTCCAGGGAGATGCCCACCCACTGACACTCACTGGTCCCAGCACCCCAGGTGATACAAATGGCCTCCAGCCTCTGGTGAAATGAGGAAGTGTGCACTGTATTCTGTACATCAGTGGGTCACCCACGAGTCCATGGGCCCGACTGATTTTGCAAGGCCACAGAGCCCATGTGGGAGGTCCCTACTTGCAGCCTTGAGTTGCCATCCTCATTCCGCCCCCTCTCCCCCTCAAGTATTCACATCTAAGTCTGTGGAGAGGAGTGGGATGAGAGCGATCAAGGAGTAGCGGTGAGGATGGAAGCATTTGCTCACTTAAAACACGTTAGGTGTATATCAGTGGAACATCCCATACCTGTCCAACTCAAGTCCCTAAGTCCAAAATTAAACCATAAGTCCCTCCTCAGACTCATGCAGCACATGCAATGATGCAGAATGCAGGAAGACCACAGGGCGTGGGTGCAAAATCTTGTGGCTCCAATGGTGGTGGAAGCATCACAGGGCTTGTGCAGGTCTCCATGTGGCTCATGAACAGGAAGGTGAAGTTAGAGAGAGAACGTGGCCCTTCTCCAGAGAGCCATTTATCTCGGTGGCACCTCCAAATGAGGTCATCAAGCTGCGACCTGATTGACAGGCTAAACGCCACCCATATCTTCTCACAGGTGCTAAGTTGGCACATACACACAAAACCCCTAACTATCACAACCACCAAGCAAACAAACCCACTAACATACAGTTCATTCTGACTCATAGTGCCCTGGTAGTTCAGAGAGAACTGTGCCTTTGGGTTTCTGAGACTTTAAATCTTTAGGGGAGGAGACAGCCTCATCTTTATCCCAAGGAATGGCTATTGGAGTTGACCTGCTGATCTTGCAATTAGCAGTTCATCACATAACCCACTACACCATCAGGGCATCTTCCTTAAGGAGAAGGTCCGTGTTTTAGGGCTGAATAACCCAGGGACTCCAGTCCTGGTTGTTTAAATCAGAACAAAAAGTACTTCCACCTCAGGCTCCTATCTTTTTGGATAGGTTAGCAGTTTGAAACTACCAGGTGCTCTGCGGGAGAAAGACGTGGCTCTCCACTCCCGTAAAGTGTGACAGTCTGAGAAGCACACAGGCACGGTTCTCTTTGCTCTTGGTTCACTGTGAGTTGGAATCAACTCAAGGGCAGTGAGTGTGAGCGAGGCAGACCTGCCCGTCCGACATTTCACCTTGAGTGGCAGAGGGTTCTTTACCCAGTCCCGGTCTCCTCGTGCTGACCTAACAGAAATACCACTAATGGGTCTCTTTAAAGAAGAGAAAGTTATTTTTCACAGCTTGGGAGGCTAGAAACCTAGCTCCTGGTATGGCTTTAGGAGACCCATCTTTGTCTATGTGGCATCCTTGGCCGTCTTCCTCGGCCATCCGTCTTCACTTGGCCTCTGTCTCCCCCCTTTTGTGCTTCTCTCTGGGTCCATGCTCCCCTTCTCAGCTCATCAGGGAGGAGGTGGGGGTATCCCTGACACTGACACCGAACTACCCCATCCCTATAACAAAGAGCACCCTGTTTGCAGAGAGGGTGGCATCCACAGATAACAAAGGGCAAGATTCGAACCCGGGTTCTTGAAGAGACAATGCAATCCCTAGCAATCAGTAAGCTCTGATTCAACATTTAGTTTATTGTTATGATTATGTAATACACGTGGAAGTATCAAAATCTTTGAAATTAAGAAAAAGTTGGTTCTGGTTTGGGGAAAACAAATCCTTCTGCTATTGTACATTTTTCCATTAGGGGAAAAGGAAAAAAAAGAAGAAGAAGAATTTCAGAGACTTGCCAACAACACTCTAAATGTAAGTGCTAGATTTGCAAGTCGGCTTATATTCATATTTAGAGAATATGCATATTCAGAGACTAATTATTCAGGAAATATTTGGTTATCTTCAGACTAAGTAAAACGTATGGCTAAAAATAAGAAGGGTAGAATATAAATAGTGGGGAACGTTGGAGAGCATGAACAGCTACCATTATAAGAATAAAATAGAGAGGAAGAAGGAAGCGGAACCATGTGATATTTTCTGTTTTGGTTTATGTCTTCTCTACTACCTAAAATTCAATTCCTTCAATTCAACAAACATTTATTTGGTACCTAGCATGCAGAAGGGATCAGAAGATAAGGAGAATGTAATTTCTGCCTCCGTGTTCTTAGAGCCAAATAGGCAGAACACAAGGAACAATAAAAAGGACTCCCCAAATCATCTTCTGTGTTATGATGAAGCCCCTGGTTTGGGCTTCTGTTCCAGGGACAGGTTATGCTTGGTCCAAGCCTGTCCTGGTAACCCCACCCCTTGTCAGTGATTGGTCAGGCACCAAGGCCTGTTTGATTCAGGAATGGCTTGTGTGGCCAACAAAAGAAAGTTTTCTGAGTGTTCCAGGACACCCTTCTTAGCTCCTGAAAGAGAGAATGGACAAGTTAGAGTTTTTTTCTTATGGCCCCTATCAAGCCCAGAATCACTGCCGCATCTTGCTATTTGAGAGTAAAGACTACTCACCAAGACGGGCAGTCTTAAGAAATCACAGAAAAATAGACCAAGAATTCTGGTCAAACCTTCCTAATCTGTACTTCTACTTAACTTTAATTATGTAAATCAATGAGTTTAAGGCTAGTGGAATTGATGATCCTCATCCTAACAGATAAAGGTGGTAACACTTAGCAGAATATGATGTGATGTAAGAGGTCAGAGTAAAGAATAAAGCTCAATCCAGCAGATAATGCAATCCTGTTATTAACAATCACAGAGAAAAACAAACAGAAAACCCATCGCCGTGGAGTTGGTCCCCACTCATGGTGACTCCTTGGGTTTCAGAGTAGAACTGTACTCCATAATGTTTTCAGTGGTGGACAGTTCAGAAGTAGATGTTCGCATCGTTCTTCTAAATGCCTTGGGATAGACTCAAACTGCCTACCTTTCTGTTGGCAGCTGAACACATGAACTATTTGTACTACCCAGAAATTCCTAAACTTAGAGAACAACTCATTCACCGTCACTGAATCAATTCCAACTCATGGCAATGCTATAGAAGAGGGTAGAACTGCCCCTGTGGGTTTCCGAAACTAGAACTCTCTATGGGAGTAGAAAGCCTCACCTTTCTCCTGCATAGAGAACAAATCATTTGAAAATGAAGTTTGGCTCATAAGAATGAATGAAAACCCCAGAGACTAGCAAGTGTTAAATAAGATAAACCTGTGTTAGAAATGAGGAGCTCTGGTGGCGTAGTGGGTTATGCATTGGGCTGCTAACTGCAAGGTCAGCAGTTTGGAAACCACCAGCCATTCCTTGGGAGAAAGATGAGACTTTCTACTCCCACAAAGAGTTACACCCTCCAAGACCTTCAGGGACAGTTCTACCCTGCCCTATGGGGTCATTATGAGTCAGAACCAACTCAATGGCAGGGCGTTAGAGTTTTTGAATTTGAGGTTCGAAATGAATTGAAAGGCACTTACCTAAAGTTGAGAGACTAAGGCACTTACCTAAAGTCACCCAGTGGAGCTGCGTGAAGTTAAGAACCCAGTTTGCCTGAATTCCAAACCATGCTTTCCACCGCCTAACAGTTTCTTCTCTGAAGAAGTGAAATAGGAAAAGAGTATTTTAAAATGTCAGCATAGGAAGAAGAGGCAGGAAAATACAGCATTTTCATTAAACAGGGATTTGAGAAGCTCATAATAGAAAATTTGGATATCTGTTTTTAAATTAGACCGTAGCCTTTACTGAAAGGTTGGGCATATGCTACCATGTGGAGCCACCTGGGGCCGAGCAGTTGCTAAGCGCCCCACCAAATCAAGGCAGTGTTTGCTGAAACCA